GATGCCCTGGTGTGTCCCACCTGGTCTTCAGCTGCTGCAAGGTGGCTCTGGAGATGCTGGGGCACAGCATCTGCCTACCCCACGAGGCTATCACCCCCCTAGACTTCTTATGAGAAGTCAGGATCTCTCACAGGGACCGTTTCCAGTTTGTAGGGGAACAGGAGCTCTTTCCATAGAGCTCATGTCCTGAATTAATCACTGTTTAAAAGATAATCTCCCACAACATGAGTTTAATCCCAGGCTCTTCCACACACAGTGCACAAGCTCAGTGAGTTGCTGCCTCATACACAATTCATAACAAATTCCATTGATAAACCAGCTGTGATCAAACACTGTAGAGACAAGGGCCATGCTGTCATTAGGACAGATGTCTCCTGTTTGTGTAGTGGGTTCCTGCCTCCAGATTTTTCTCCTTCCCCTCTACTCTGCCCTAGTGAGGCCCCATCTGGAGCACTGCGTCCAGTTCTGGGCTCCCCAGTTCAAGGAAGATGAGAAGCTACTGGATACAGTCCAGTGGAGAGCTACGAGGAGAATGAGGGGACTGGAGCATCTCTGCTACGAGGAAAGGCTGAGGGAGCTGGGCTTGTTCAGCCTGAAGAAGAGAAGGCTGCGAGGGGACCTTAGAAATGCTTATAAATATCTGAAGGGTGTCTGTCAGGGGGACAGGGCCAGACTCCTTTCAGTGGTTCCCAGCGACAGGACAAGGGGCAACAGGCACAAAGTAAAGCAGAGGAAGGTGCATCTGAACATGAGGAAGAACTTCTTCACTCTGATGGTGACGGAGCCCTGGCACAGGTTGCCCAGGGAGGTTGTGGAGTCTCCTTCTCTGGAGATATTCAAGACCCGCCTGGACAAGGTCCTGTACAGCCTGCTGTCGGTGACCCTGCTTCAGCAGGGGGGTTGGACTGGATGACCCACAGAGGTCCCTTCCAACCCCTAACGTACTGTGAGACTGTGATTTTGTTCAAGGTAGAACCATACGTAATGCATCAGAGTTTCTGCTGGTTTCTGGGAATTTCCTGCTCTTCCCCACCTTCCACAGCAGCCGTCAGAGCCATAGGTCTGCATCTCTGTGCAGCTTCTCCAAGGGCACCCAAACATGTCCCTAATGCCCACCCAGTCCAGCCCACAGCAAGAATGCTACCAGTTCATGTAGGAAAACTTTAGGGATTTCCTCCCTTGTTATTTAAACAGCCAGCCGACATTTTCCCATAGCTACAAAACATTATTTTGCTGCTTTCAATTCTCAACACCCTCTTTCATTACAACAAAGCAGGTGAGTAATAGCAGCCGAACAAGTTAGTCCACTTGATAAACTAATCTGCAGATAAGACACTGAAGGACTTAGATCAGTGCAGAGGGAAATAACAAGCACTATCTGATGAACGATATCAGGAAATACCTTCTTTTAAAATGCCTTGTGGGTTTTCTGCAGTGGCATCTCTGGTCAGCCTCACACTTGAAAACTGAGTGCAGGCTCTAGAGGCAGCTTGTTTTCTGGACAGTAATAATCTGTTCAGCTAATTATACAAGTTCCTGTGTCTTGGTTTCCCTTTGAGAGAGCAGCCTGGCCTGCAGTAGAAAGCAGAGGACGTTTAAGATGGATCTAATTAGAAGATCTTTTTGAATCACCTGGGAAGGTAAACCATACTATACCTCTGTTTGTCTTCTTTATTTTTGGAAATGTATGCCGTGGTAACTATTGTGTTGTGCGAATTTGCAAGAGAGGATGTTTTGCAGCGTTTATGAAAAAGAGAAATTTATCAAAAAAGTAAAAAGGAGGTCATGTAGGTCACTTCTGTCCTGGGTTAAAGTGATACCTTGCTATTTACCTTCAGGAATCTTCTGCGCTTTAAAGTTACCTTTAAACAACACTTTTCAGCCTGAACGCTGTGGAGAAGAAGAGATGTGGTAGCAAACCTGGGTTTCTTTAGCTCCCTGGTTCTTTATAAGTTGAAGAGAGTTATTGCCTCCCAGAAGACAGCTTGTAGAGAAATGATGAATGTGTCCCCATAACTTCAGTTTTACCAACTGAGGGTAGATAAATATTTGAGAAATTGCTTGGTGAAAAGTTTATGGTAATACTTTTTTCAACAAGACATTAAATAAACAAGTGGAGCAACCACATTATTTGAGAAGGACATTAATATTTTTCTCGTTTGCAATTTGATATCTGTTTACTAGTATTCTGGATTTCTAGATACTGGTTTGGGATTTTTGGACTTTTGACTAGCTATCAAAACCTGAGTAACAGCATGGTTCTCATTTGCATGATTTGTCCTCTGTATGGTTTCTTATGTGTACAATTTTCAGGGCATTTAGTTTCAGCTACACAGCTGTGCAAAGGGTGTATTTGAAAACAGAGGCTGACCCACAACAGTTGAATACGAATGCAAGTTTGTCAGCTGTGCAAAAGACACATGCAAATCTGTAGCAGATGATGTTTAACCTCATCATAAGCTTTGTTAATGACCTTTTCTCCTTTCTCTTATTTGTTTTGTCAATCTGTCACTGATGAAGTACAAGTTCTTTTGTTCAGATTAATCTGTTGTACTATATGATGTAAGCGTATGCTGCAAGCATATGCTGCATATACAAAACTATCAGAAACCTTTCTTTTGTTAGAGTTTCTACTATTAAGTCATGTCACTATCTCAAGGACTTGCATGACAGCTTATAACTTGGCAATGCTTCCCTCTTGATCCATTTTGATCCTCTTGGTCTTGGAATGAGCCAGATCCATGGAATTCTTGAGGTTGTCATGAGTGGATGATGTCTTCAAAATAACCAAAAAGTCTCTTTTGTAGAATGCTGGATATACTGATGGACATGCCCATTTCATTTCTGCCAGCCATTCACCCATTGGATAAAAAAGCCTGGAAAAGGTTTTTTTTAATGGATTTTGGGGTGGGAGGGAAGATATTTTGAGTCAGTAAGACATCTTGCTTTCTGTTTTTTCCTACATAGGAACATAAGAGTAGCTCACATATTTAGATAGCACAGTTTTCTGTTGATTTCCTTTTTTCCTCTGCTGCTATCCTAGAATTTCTTAAAATTATTTTTCCTTTTTTAATTGCATCTCAGAGTTCAGCTGATGTTTTGTCAGACCCCATTTCTGAAGGTAATTGTCAGTTTAGAGTCCGTCACAGAATACATGAAGTCAGGATAGTTTCTTTCTACCTTATACTTATCAGTGCTAAATTTCATGAATTTCATGACCCTGTTACACAGTATTCTGCGATCCCTATGCAGGTCTCCACAGGCGGAGTTTGATTTTGTCAGTCTCAATCATTTAAAAGCTGTCCACAGCTTTTTCACAGTGGTCACTAATCACTGCCTTTTCTACATCACTTGAGAACAGAGGGTAAGACACAGGCTTGCACGCGTGTTTCTGCAGAGCTCTGGTGATGACATCTCTGTATTGAAAAAGCAAATAATTTCTGCCTACTTTTGTCTCCTGTCTTTTAACCAGGTCAGTGTGCAGGTAACGCCTCTCTGCAGATGAATGCCTCGAAGAATTACCTGTGGTGAGAAACCCTGACAAATCCCATGCTGGATACCCACGGCAGTGACGTCAAGCCTATTGCTTGGCTGTAAGCTCATTGCTGTCCTCTGTCCATGCACGAGGTGAGACCACAGATCATGTTCGTACTATAATCTTCTGTCATGGGCTCTTTTGAGCAGGAAAGTCACAGTGAAGCACCCTGTCTATTTGGGAGCACCAGCTTTGATATGCAATATGGTGGCAGTAGGCAGCCATTGCCAATGTTCATTATTGTCACAGGAGGTGCTGATTTTTCTGCTTTCACCTGCTGATTCACAGCCTTTACAAGCCTGAGGTCTTAGCTGGTTTGTATGCACAGCCTTTTCAATACAAAAAGATCATAATTTTACAAAACCTTGTGATTTTAATCAAGCTGATGTTAGGCACTCAGTTACTGTTCAGTACTATTCTTAAGAGTCTGTGAGTGCTTTCCTTTCTTAAAATGATTTTGACAATCTGCTTGGGTTCTGCCTTTTCCTGTAGCTCTCTAGCAGCTGTTAATCCTGGAGATAGGGAAGTGCTTTGTTAGGAACAATCAGAAAGTACACATTCATAGCAAAATGCATATTTTAACGTATTTTTCAGCTTCCTTTCTCTATTCCCTCTGGTTCCATAAAACGTGTCAGCACCCTCTGTAATGCATGTTGTGCCTCTCCCTTTATGTGTCACCATCCAGTCTACTGCATGAGTAAATTGGCTGAGGCACTACTGAGCTTGAAAAGGTTGGGTTTTGTGGGTTTTGATTTCAGACACCGCATTATATTCTGGTGTGTCACTATTCTTTTGTTCTAGGTTATTTCTTTGATAACATCAGTGCAATTAATGGAGATCTATAGTAGAACGTCGAAATTACAAGTATTTTTTCCAGGAGATATCACTCGTCATTGTTTCCCTTGCTAGCCAAGGGGTAACAGACAGAAATCTCTAGGTGAGCCCATGACGTTACCATAGCCCTCTCCAGAGTGGGACATGGCCGGTAGCAGAGCTCTTCCTGCTGCAGTGGGGGAGGCCCTCACCTACGGCAACGTTTCTAACTATTCCCTCATGTTCTGGCTGTGCATTTGCCAAGTACCACTGGTACGAATATGTGAAGATCCAAAGTCAACTTATCTCATGGCAGATGGATTTGTATCACCTCACTTGTCCCTGTTAAGCACCTGTTTAGGACTTTGCTTTCTCCAAGAGGTTTCTTTTTCCCTCCATTATAAGTAGGTACAGCTGACATGAAAAAAAGGAGATATGAGGGCAACAGTCTGGTGACAGTGACAGAGGAATAATTACAGACCTTTTTCTGTGTGCTGTCTTGGATGCAGTGAACAATCAGAGTGTGCCGATAAAGTCTGAACGTACTGGTTTTGTAGAGTGTGCTGTTTCCTACTGTGTGAGTCAGCTGAAAATTCCCTGATCCTTTTGCTTCATTTTTCTCTCAGGTTGTACAGCAAAGTCACTGAACAAAATGCTGTCCCCAATTACTGTAGGCCTCCACTGCCTGTTTCTACTGTTCACAGCATGTTACCAGACATCACAGGACTCAAACTTTGATCAGTTCATCCAATACGTAGTGAGTATCCTTTCCCAGCCCCACTGGTTTTCATTTGATCTCTACTATAGCTCTCCTTTACACCCACAAAACCTTAAAGGAAGTCAGTATAAGCTTGCGTGTGGAAACCAAACCCAGAAAGTCTCCTCAGTGTGTAACACAGATGGAAAAATCCAGGAACTGGGTGCTTCTTGCTTCCAAGTCTTAAAGCCTTTCCAGAAGGATCTGAGCAAAACCTCTGGTTTCTCACTTGTTTTAGTCTGTAAGGGATTTAAATTGCTGTCCCTGGAGCTAAGCCCAGGTAATAATTACATGGGCACTGTTCTTGGGTGGGATTCACCCATCCTGTAAGAGAGAGAAACCAAATATATCTTGCCTAGAAGGGGTGTGTCAACAGAAATAGCTCAAGGACAGAGGTGCTTACAGGTAGGTGACATGAATCTCACACTATCTTGACAGTAGGACATGAGTACACAAGACAAAAATACCACTGCTGAGGGAATGTGTTTAGATGTTGTGCTTGGACTCAGACTTCCTTTTGGTTCCTAGTATTTCAGTAATCTTCCTCACATACCTCTTTTGCCAAACCAGTAGTGCGAATTATGGAAATCCATTTTGTGCGTTGTCCTGTATATGGATTTGGTAACAGACAGTTTGTGAACAAATAGTCCCTACCTAGAAAAGACAAAAGAGGAACAGAGAAAAAAAGGTACCAACAAAATGGAAGTTGTATAGTCTGGTGAAGAAAACTAGTCTGCAAATCTACCAGCTTTTGGTCGATCACAATAATTACTAGACCAGAAAATACTTCTTTTGTCTTCTACATGACAAACAAGCCAAAATGGATTCTAACATCTAGATTCAGCCCTTAGCACCACAAGGACCATAGTTCTGATGGACTGACCAGAACATAACGAGCCCTTTTAAGCAGGTTGAAAAGAGGCAAAGAGAGGTGAAGAGGAAGGTGGAAACTCCTTAAGCTGCTTCTACCACCATCCCCTGTCTTGGCAAACCAAGATATAGCTGGTTCCAGCAGTCCCGTCTACGCCATGGTGGATGTCTACTAGTGACCAAGTATCGTGTTTGATCTGTTTTTTTCAAACTGTCTCTGTCTCAGCACTTAGGCATTTTCATGAAAAGAGTAACACTTTATTTTTTAGCATCGTTGATCTGTGGTTGATCCTGAAAATGAGTCATCACCTAATGGTGTGAAATATGTGAAGTATTTAACAATGTAGCAATACCCTGTAGTTGTTTGGGAGAATAATTAAAAAAGGAAACCACTGAGACCAAACCTGGGGGAAGAAGTCGATCGCATTGGGCTTTCTGTAAGTCTTGCAGCTAACCTCTAAGGTGAAAGGTAGTACCCCTAGCAGTGTGAAAATGCCAATGCACCTCAGGATCTTCGCTGCCAGAACAGCTGTGATATGAAGCCCAGCTCTAATCACACACCAGATGGTTCCTTTCTGTAACGAGATGACTTAAGAGTTGCCAAGCTATTCACTCTTTCTGTAAATAAAGGTTTCATTACGAATCAAGAAACCGGCAAAGCTGCAAATTTCCTGCCTGCGTCTGTGCTTGTTCTTTAGCCTTTCTTGCTAACTGTGATGCCAATGTATTTTTAGGGTATGATTAAAAAAATCAGATGGTCTGCATCTCACTTGGCTGCACCCTGTGTGAACCCAGTCATGCTGAAATCATGCCACCACTGCCCTGGTCAGCCGTGTGCTACTGATGGCCCACAAAATAGCTGACCTGACACCTGAGCTGGAGCCAAGACATTTCAATCCCATTTCTCCTCCTACTCAGGCTGGCTTTGCTGCTGCAGAGCTGGAAGCTCAGAGCAACATGGAAAGCAAAGGGTAATATGAGTCCATTTTCTGGGTTCAAAGACTGAGTGGCTGGATTTCCCAAGCAGTTTGCAAGGCTGTCCCAGGATGAACTGTACTTCATTTGCCCCATAGCCAATACGCAGCTCAGAAACAGAACTCCTGCTAAGCTGAGAAAATTGCCTTGCAGATATATGCAAAGAGATACCTCCAAACTCATTTAGTCTCTCAGCTGGTGTTTAACATTTCCATGCTTGGAAGATGCAAATATTCTGTTTAAAGAGGAAGATCTGGGGTGATGGGGGCAGGTGCAGGGAGACAAGATTGGTGGAGGGAAAAAAAATTCTCTATGCTGGTATTTTCTTCACTAATTCTTTCACGCCAACAACAGCAGTTAAAACTTCAGTTTGTGTTTTCACAGAGCTTCCCTCTCTTTTATCCACAGATTGACAGTGCACTAGGAGAGGAAACCTTGCAGTCAGAGATGCGAAGGCAGAAGCGAAATGGTACGTACAGAAACGTATGGTAACAACAGGTTTCTAGTAAGCCAGGGGTGAAATCGCTATTGGGGCAGCATCTCTTGAGGTACTGAACTGAGATCATCAAGAAGGAGGCAGTGGTTGCAGTTTAACACCAGCCAGCAGCTAAGAACCACACAGCCACTTGCTCACTCTTCCCCAGTGGGATGGGAGACAGAATCAGAAGGGTAAAAGTGAGAAAACTCATGCATAAAGATAAAGACAGTTTAAATGGTACGGCAAAGCAAGGAATTAATTCACTACATTCCAATGGCAGGCAGGAGTTCAGCCATTTCCAGGAAAGCAGGGCTTCATCATGTGTAACAGTTGCTTGGGAGGACAAACACCATCAGTCCGAAAGTCCTCCCCTTCATTCCTCTTCCCCCAGCTTTTATTGCTGAGCATAACGTCATAAGGTGTGGATGTCATACTCCGGGTCGTGTAGTGTATGATGTCATATTGATCAGCTGCAGTCAGCTGTCCTGGCTGTGTCCCCTTCCACCTTCTTGTGCACCCCAATCCTACCTGCTGGGAGGACAGAGCAGGAAAAAGAGAAAGCCTTAATGCTGTGTGAGCACTGTTCAGCAACAACTAAAACGTCGTGTTATCAACACTTTATTCAACACAGATCCAAAACATGGCCCCATATAAGCTACTATGAAGAAATTAAACTCTACCACAGCCAAAATCAGTACAATAATAAAGGCACAAAGAGAAGAGGTGGAAACCTTTGTCTGGTCAGACACTGACATCTATGAGCGCAGCTTCTATGCAAGGTGAAATACACGGTGTAGAAAAAACCCTGAGCCTCTTAGCAGGGCAGGGGTCACAAGATAATCCTGTATGGCTTCAGTCTATGGCTGACAACCCATCCACTTGTTAAGTCAAAGGAGAGAAAGGATGAGAGAGCTTTTCTCTGTATATATTATGCCGTTTATATCAGGTTCCTATTGCTCTGAGACCAAAGAAATCTGGCTTTTGTCAGACAAGCAGCAGATAAAACACATGCAAAATATCTTCTGAGTAGGAATCAAGATTTCCTAAGCAGAATGCCACACTAAGCTACCATTAAATAGCAACAGAGCCCAAATGCCGAAATAGAAGTCATCAATTTATGATTTACCCTCACACACAGGTTTGCGGTCTCACGCTATTTCTCTTTCAGTCCTTACTTTTGACCTTCCCCCTCTGGAGTACACTGTTGACATTGAAGTAAGCCTTATGGATTCTTCTTTCCTGGACCCTGTCAAAGAGTATTTCAAAAACCTTAATCTTCCAGTTTCAACAAATATTTCAGATGTAGAAATGACAGTTTCAAACATCAACATTACAACAGGTGGGTTGTTTTTTTACTTTTATATTCTGAGTGACATGCTTTTGCCAGTATTCGATCTCTTCCAGTTTTACTACCCGTGATGCCTAGAAATCAGCAAAATTGAACCATCCCTGCTGCCTACTGAAAGATCCAACAAGAATGAAGCTCTAGCACACAACAGCTTGTTTTGTTATCTGCACCCTACCACTCCATTTTACATAATGTTGGCGTTAGGAATAGCCCTGAATGCTTTTATTTTCCTAAGGAAGGGACAAAGCCAGAGGAAGTGGGAGCCAACAGATTTTGCTCCAGTTTGACTAACAAGCAGTCTGAGTTACTTTCAAGTTTCAGGAAACTGTGACAGTGGTTATCAGACTGTTTACTTCCCTCCACTTGCATTTGGAACGTAAATCGCTGTAAGAGGCCGTACTCTGATGCTGGCAGAGACAGGCTGCATGAGATACACTCTTTTCCTGATATAAACTAAAGTATTCTCACAGGGCAAGATATCAGACAGATTTTATTACATGAGTTGTGGTTGTGCAACACCACATCCAAGTAACTAATACAGCAGAGGATATACAAACACACCAAGCATTTACAACAGTAGAGGAGGAGATCTGGTACCTTCTTATCGCTGGCCCATAAAGCAGTGAAAGGAAGTGTTCATCAGGTCCCGAAACAACATGCAAATAGGTCTTTAAAAGGCCTTCAGGGGTCACATGCAAAGTGTAAAAATTACTTTGTTAATATCTTACTTTGCCAATGGCACATTAAGAGCAGAAATACTTACAGTGAAGTGCTTTTAGGTTTATGGTTTGTGGTTTTTTTATTAGCGAGAATGTATGTCTTTAAAGCACTTTATGATAATATTACCCTCTCTCATGCAATGTCTGTCAGAATACACTCAGAATGACACAGCTCCCCACTAGCCACCAGGACTTTGAATGACAATTACATGTTCTTGCAATCTTTAAGAGCCTATATGTTTGCTTTCAGCCCAGGCAATATACAAATATCCAATCTGAAAACTATCATAGGACACTGGCCACTATTCCAGGTAATTTTTTAGGATCAGGCTTCACATCTGCATTTAACTACTTAAAAGCAATTCATTAGACTTATCCCTGTACCAGTCTGGTTCCTATTTCTCATTAGTCATTTATAATTAATATAATTAGTAAAATCTTATGAAAGATTTGCAAGGCATCAGATCGTCGTGCTTGCGTCATTCAAGTGAACTCACAAGAAGGGCAACATTCAGTTGAGATCACTGGCATAAAGATACAGCAGGGTAAATATATATGATGCAATATGCTATGCCCCGTTTACCATTCTCATAGTACTTCTCTCTCTGTCTGACACTAGTCTGTCTGCCCAGTGGTGAGAACAGTAGCTGTTGTTCTTGTGAAAATGGATATGCCTGGCCAAGCGAGGTGTGCAGTGACTTGATAACCTGCCCTTCTACCAGCCTAGCATCCAACCTGCCCTGCGGTTATGTGAAGGAAATGCCTTTCTATGGGCCTTACTGTGAACCTCAGACTGGAGGTAAAGGAGAAACAGTGCTGAACTTCCTAATTGTACAGCTCATATACTGGTTAGAAGATGGAATAGTGTTAAAGGTGTGCTAAAGCAGCAAATCAGGACTGAGCTGGCTACAACATTGCCTATGAAAGTGGAAAGTCTGTAGAGATGGTCTAGAGTTCTTCCCTTTGTGATGTGGGTCCACCTTGACACAAGTACCTAGAGATATTTAGTACCATACTGGAGCCCCAGCTCATGGAATCACTCATATGCCTCTTTGGGACTTTCAGCTTCAGCTAAGCAAAGAAAGCTTCATATCTTCAGATTTTCAACGGAGGAACTTACAAATGTGACCAAAGTGTGCCATAGTGCCCAAGAGAAGAAACAAAAAACTCCAGCATGTATCTTTTGTTTGGTTTTACTTCAGGGCTCTCGTGACAAGGTGCCCATGACTTTTTAGGAGCTTGATTGATGACTGGACACTTAGGCTTGGCAGCACTGGTGTGAAGCACTACCTGTTGTCTTTGCAACCCAAGACAAAACTCCACGAGGGTCTAACTCTGATCTGTGATGGAGCAGCATGCAGAGATACCCAGAGGCAGCCCTAGAGCTGGAAGCAGCCCAGTGCTGTCAGCGTGCCCGTGCTAATCAGCTCTGCTGAGAGACAATGTTTTTATCACAGGGTAGCCCCACATCTATCCTGCTATACTATTTCCAGGACTAGAGCTAGTATCTCTTCGATGTGGAAGTCCCACAGCCCTTAGAAGTCCAGGGTCCTGGGTACAATGCTCCTCCACTGCATGGCATGGACATGTCCTTAAATGGTCATAATTTAGACAATTCCAGTATCTCTCTCTCTGCAGGGCCTGTTGCAATAGAACAAGTGGTAATAGTTTAAAACTGAAAAAAGGTGGATTTAGACTGGATATAAGGAGGAAATTTTTTACCATGAGGGTGGTGAAACATTGGCACAGGCTGCCCAGAGAAATTGTGGATGCTCCCTCCCTGGAAGTGTTCAAGTCCAGGTTGGAAGTCCACATCCTTGGTAGGGGATTTGACTGGATGATCTTTCAAGGTCCCTTCCAATCCAAACCATTCTATGATTCTATGATTCTATGATTAAGTTAGAAGAAAAAGCTAAGAAAACACTTTGTAAGCATTGCTTTTGTTTATTTTTATGTTTATTTTTGTGTTTTTCCTTACAGACTCATGTGGTATGGGAGAGCCCATTGTAGTGAATATGTCAGTCAGACTTGACATAGACTTTTACAATGATCTTGAGGATCCTTCTTCTGAATTATACAGAAAATACAAAGCTGACCTTGAAAAAGCGGTAATGACTTTAGTTTTACATCTCTGAAAGCCTTGAAGAAATATTTACCCTAAGTGTCTGGGAAGAAGGGTGCACTGTCACTATCTTTGTGGGGAGCTGTGAAGTATGCAGCAGTGGAATCTATGAGCTTGGTCATAACTGACCTGTATTGAAAGGCAATGACAATATTCCCAGTCATTTGAATATGATGGCTGACAGGGAAGTATTTAGGAATGTTCTTCATCAAAAGCATGAAAAAAAATCACATTATTAGTCTCAACTTAAGTCCACGTGAGCACATATAGAATGACACCATCAACACAAATTTATCTCATGACAGTCGGGAGAGCACCTGGCTTATTCTATCAGATATGCTACATACCCTCACTCACATTTGCTGTTGAATGGAGAGTTTCCTATTTTAAGCATGATAGAATAATATACAGAGGACTTACGTCATGTAATATGTCTTTCTTTACAGTTTAATGGTAGCTACAGATGTTTACCAGGCTTTGTATCAGCAACAGTAGCTGGTTTCACGTAAGTAAATTATTTCATTTTTTCCTGGAAGACACAAATCTTTCTGTCCAATCTCAAGGAGACACTAGTCATCAAAGGCTACATTCACTCTGGCTAGAACCCACGTCCAGTATACACATACCGAGTAACAGTTTAATTGCTGCAAAGGAAAGCCCAACTATTAGCATGGAAATAGCATTGCAGGTAAAATACACTGCTGTGCAAAAGTCCAAAAAACGTAATCATTCTCCGTCTGGATCAAAGCCTTTTGTGGGAAAGACTGAATTCAACCCAAAAGGGGAAAAGGATGTTAATAAACCTGATGTCATCTACCAGGTCATCAGGAAGATGATTAGTACATTGACTCTGGATATAACATTGGATTTGGTTAAGAGACATTATTTAAGTCCACTTCTATATAAATGCAGTTGTATTTTAGGTTTTCTAAGGGAAGTTTGCTAGAAATAGACAACAGACAAAGGACATGTCACATACAGGTATTCTTACTTTGGGAAGAGCTGTAGCACAACCTTCTTGCACACCAGAGCAAGCCTTCAGTCACAACAGGAGCCATCACAGGCGAGCTCTGTGAAGCCTTCCTAGCCATGCAAGGTGGGCCATCACAACAAAGGAAACTACTAATATGCAAGGAGATTGAATTCTGGTGCTTCTCTCATTCTTGTATCTGTTTAGGCCTGGAAGTGTTTTTGTGAACTATGAAGTAAAAGCGGGAGCAGCAAGCTTTGATCAGATAGCAAGTTCCAACAAAATGGTCCCACAATTTCTAGATGCATTTTATCGGTTAAACCAAGCTACCTTCACAACAGAAATAACCAGTAAGTTTTAAATTCTCTCAGTATTTTCCTTCAACATTTATTTTAGTATTTCTAGCCTGAACCATGCAGCTGCCTTATACAGTTGATTATTTGGTACTGGGCATTCAAAAAACATTTATTTTTCTGGCTATTTCATTCCATCCTGTGCCACCAAAGCTTAGGACTTACATGAGATGACGATGCACAAATTACGTGCCTCCGACGGAAAACCAAATCCTTCCAGCTGCTCCACTGAACCCTGATGCAGACTCTCCATGGGAGAGAGATTGAAAAGCATAAAAATTTCTGGGATCTTTGGCTCACAAAGATAGTAGAAGAATGTCTTGTGGGAAAATTGCATACCTTGTATTAGATGTGGTGCCCTGCAACTAATGCTGAGTGCATATTAATTGTGAAGCACCTAGGATTCCCACAAGATGAAAGACACCATATAGACATGGGATACATATCAGAGGGCTGGAACACCTCTCCAATGAGGAAAGGCTGAGAGAGTTGGGGTGGTTGTTCAGCCTCGAGAAGAGACGTCTCCGGGGAGACCTTATTGTAGATTTTCCATACTTAAAGGGGGCTTATAAGAAAGATGGGAACAAACTTTTTAGCAGCCCTGTTGTAATAGGACATGGGGTAATAGTTTTAAACTACCAGAGGGTAGATTTAGACTAGATATAAGGAAGAAATTTTTTACAACGAAGATGGTGAAACCCTGGCACAGGTTTCCCAGAGACGTGGTCGATGCCTCATCCCTGGAAACATTCCAGGCAAGATTGGATGGGGTTCTGAGCAACCTGATCCAGTTGAAGATGTCCCTGCTCACTGCAGGGGGATAGGACTAGAGGACCTTTAAAGGTCCTTCCAACCCAAATTATTCTATGATTCTCTGAGGTGGGATGAAATGACAATAATGCAGAATGTTGTTTTCTCTTCCCAGATCAAACAAACTTCTCTGTGAGTCCTGTAGACATTTTTGAAGGGGATACAGTAAGACTCGTTTGTGAGATAAATTCAACATATCAGAATGTAACCTGGTATCACTTTGATCAGATCATCTCAACCACCTTCCTGTATTTGATGAAGACAAATGTTACAAGCAAACCCTCACAGTCAATTCATGAAATTTCCAACATTACAATGAAGCATTCTGGTATGATCTTCTATCACTAAAACAGCAGATGTAAATCACTAGTGTGGCTAGTTCTATAAAAATCAAAGAGGAATGCAGTGACTGTATTTTCCTAGAGTAAATCTGAAAAAAACACTGTCCCTCATAGTTTTCCTGTGATTTTTTTCTTTAATGAACTATGCACTAACTAGCATTGACAGTAGGATGTGAACTGACAGAAGTGACTATGTACACCTCAGTATTCTCAGTGCCAGGCTTTGTTCTCGTATCACAGGAGACAGAGTTGACTACATGGCTGAGAAGCCTTTCCACATTTTTGATGTGGTAACTTGAGGCTGTGGTTGAATTTGTCCTTGGTGGCCCTTTCCCCCTTTGCAAACACAACCTAACTAATCAGAGCTCCAAGTTACAGTTTTTCATGTGTTCGTGTTTAGGGCTTTTTGAAAATCAGAAACAGGTAAATCAGTGGCATTTTTCTGGGAGGAGTTTCCAGGGAATTATCACGTATTATCAGAGCTTTGACTCAAGTACCCACTCAGTTCTTTGGACCGTGAATTTTACATTCAACTTCAACAAGGGTAGCCTGTGACCATGTATTTGGGCAGGCATATGGGAGGTAGGAGTCATGGGTCTAAAATTCTTTGGGTAAGGATATCCTGAACCTTAGTGTCTCTGCTCCTCTGTAAGCGGCCTCCTCACTTGGCTATCCCAATGGGGAAGGAGAGTCCACATAACTAAGTATGAAGGAAGTCTGGAGATCTGATTACCAACTTCAAAAGGAAGCCTGGATGCATGAAGGGGACAGGTGCCTGAGAAAAAGGTTGATGACTATGCTGTTCTCTTTGGCAATACCTTCTGAGCAGCGTATGCACCTACACTCAGAGTGCCAGCTCTTGCAGTGTCCGCCCTGGGCACCTATCTCTCACCCATCTGTGTAAGAACCTTTTGCACAGTCAGTCTAAATTCTTACTGTGACATATTGCTGCCGTGTGGACTATGGGCAATATACACATCTCCAAAACACATATTCAGCCAGATTTTAAGTATCTCAGTCCCAGAGCACTGGTCCCATCTCAAGTACCCATAACACTGAAGCTGCCCAATCTGGATATATTTGACACCAGGATTCTGCAGAAAGCATACTGCAGAACACCTGAGGGTACATGTTGATTAGCAAGTAGCAGAGCCACTGCAGAGCAGGGAGATGTGAAAATTAGGTGTGGAAGTAGCTTCCAGGTCCTAATTCCAAATGTCAAGGAAAAAGAGCAAAATGTGTTCTCAATGCTAAGATATTGCCTATGTTTTAAAGGCTCCTACAGGTGCGCTTTCATCAACAGCAATCAGTTTTACACAGTGATATACAAGGCCACAAAAACAATAGCAGTCTCTCAACTATACATCACTCCAAACGTAAACGACATGGATGTTACATGCAACAGTCCTGAAATGCAGACAAACAGTCCTCTGCTGTCCTGCTGTGTTGACAGACCCTTACCATCACTTACTGGTGACTGGAAAGTAAATGGAGCAATCAATATTACAGGTAAGATTAACAAAATATTCTCTTTCACCTGCTAGGTTTGTTCATTCTTCAAAGATCTCCTCCTAACTGGCTACCCCCAAGGCCAAGCCTTAGGGTGAATACAGGGTATGCTCCGAAGCTGGGGGGAAGTGTGGGAAGGACAATAGATGGACAGCACGGTACAGAGTCCATATGTGTTGTGCAGGTGCCAGCGGGTTCTGGGCACCTGCATGTACTGTGCAGACATTGATGCTTAAACCTGTGCCATCCTGGATGGGAACAACTGCCTGGACCGGCATCATAGTGACTTTTTCCGAAAAGCTTATTTCTGCATTCTCTAATTTTGAGAGCAAGTATGAGTGCATCAGTCTCTACTACTATCTCCAGAATCACCCCTGGGGCATGAAAAGCTTCTGTGTATCACATATTAAGGTTTGGCAACTAAGAGAGGGAGGTGCTACACTTCAAAACAGCTGCAGCACAGCCAAATACGGAGTGCAAAGTTTCCCTCTCCACCTGTAGCTGTGGTACATCACATGCCAGTTGAGTTAGTGGTGTCCCACAAGGCTCTACTTGAATACAAACAGTTAATAAAGTGTGAAGTGAATGTGTTACAAAGAGTTACAAATTGACATAAATGGAAACATTCATGAATGTCTATGAACCATACTCATAAACAACCTATTGCTGTCTTAATATATTACGGGTATGGATTAACTATTTATAGTTAACCTTCTGTTATAAATTAAGTTTAGCAGAAAGCATGACAGCAAAATGAGAGAAAACCTTCAAAGCTTGTGTCCACAGAGGACAGGTACCGGTATGCGGCAGCGCTTGCAGAGAGGGGTGACCCTGGCCTACTGTAATGAGCTGTTTTGCCCTCGATTCCCTATGGCCAGGCCTTGCTCCAGGAACTTTACTCTCATGACAGATGTGCTTTCAGTTGCAGCTTAGCTTTATTGGGGTTTTCCCTTACAGTTTAACCAACGCTCTTCAGACTTAAAGTTAAATGACTGCCAAGTTCCTCCAAATGTTCGTTTCAAAAAAAGATGACATTAAAATCTGCAGTATTTACTCCTGTTTTACTTCTCTTACTCATCTTAAATATCGCAGATAATGAGGTTAGGCTGAACCAGAATACTCTTCATTTTGGCTTATCCTGAGGTATCCAAGAAAAGTTGCTGCTCTCAGTTAGACTGGTTTTGGCAGTAGGTGCCCAGCATCATGCTAAGACCCATCTTTGGGCCTTTGGAAGGTCACTATGAGTGTTGCCAGAGTAAAAGATGTGAATGAACATCAGCAATGATGAGTTAAATGTGCCACACTGTCAAAGGTTACATACAAACCCACAGGGTTTTCCTTAGCTAGAGCAATTGCTTGGGATTTCCAGAGCTCAGGTGTATTTGTACATCCATAGCCCTTCAAGGAATGTTTATTTCTCTCTAGGAGTCACCACTTTCAGTGAAAACTGCACTGAATACAAGCTCAACGTCAGTGAGTCACTGTGTCCACCTGAGAAGTCAGGTACAGTGACGACATACACCTGTGAGCTGCAGACTGGACACGGTGCCAGGCATAGTCAGGACATCAGAGTGACCTACCTCCGGAAAGGTAAGAGTCAGGTAGCATGTAACTGACCATCAGCTCCTTGACGCGCAGGTAGCCTCTGTGGCACACCTCATTTGCAAGCAAATTATGACAACAAGTGACTCTCAATAACATGACATTTATCTTGTGTTGTCTTAGCCCATGTAACGATATCTTCAAGCATAAACTCATTAGTTTCCGAGGGATATGGGTTCAATCTAACATGTGAAAGTGATGTGAGCAATTACGACAGTATCAGTTGGAAAATCCAGTCTGGAAATGATACCAAAACAGTCGACTGTGCTACCTGCATCAAAAATAGTAAATTTCCAGCCTCAGCTGTGCTCACAGTGAAGACTGCCACACAAGTCTCTACCCCTGCAAATCACTGTGAAGCCTGGCCACAGCAAATAAAAATAAGAGTTAAAATTGTATAGTGCTGGAGAACAGCAAGACATGATGCTGCCAACAACACTGTGCTTGTTCAGTATTAGGGCTCACGACCATGCGAAAGCCAAGGAGCACTCCAGTTGACTGAGACATGGTTTTTGTGTTACTTCTTTCAGGCACCTACATCTGCACATTTTTCCAGAAGTACTTGGAGAGTTCTGCCAATGTGACAATCGAGGTTGTTCCCTTGCCTCTGAAGCAGGACATCCTGATAGACCCCGTTGCAACATCTATACAGTGCAAAGTGCAACAAGCCCTTGAGTGCTGCATAAGTGTTAACACCATGGAAGATTACACCGTTACCCTCGTGGTTCAACAAAATGAATTTCAACTTGGTAAGAAACAGCAAACTTGCAGAATCACTAGGTACACTGTGTGTCACAACCCTGTCCCTGGCTTTTTTGTTTCCAGTTAGGTCTGTGCAACCAATCCATACTTACTGCTATTATGACTGTAAAAAAGGGGGAACAGATTTTTTTAGGATGATTGCCATGCCTGGATAGCATGGCTGAGGTTAATAGAAGAGCAACTGAAGTCACTGTTGTAGTGATAAATATGTAATAGGTAAAATCTATTTTTGTTTGCCTTGCCAGACACTGAGAAATGAGCATTCTCATCATATCATTGTCCAGATTAGAAATTGCTGAACTTCATTTATTTGTTTTTATCTTCCACTCTGACACTTTTTTGAACTGAGTATCGAGGAAAAGTTGCTTAAGAAGAAGATCTACTAATTCATGAAAAATGTAGAATAAAACATTAAGAATACAATTCAAAGAACTATCCTATTTTGTTCAAGGATACAGGTAACATATCTTTAACAGCACAAAAGCCTGAGCTTTGTGTCTTCACGTTTAGGGAAGTTCTGCAGCTTGCCTGGCGTGTTTTTATATGCTAGAATTTTTCAAGTGGGTTAAAAAACAATTAATTTCAAAAAAGCAAAGAAGATCCACCTATACTAACTCAGAAAACTTACAGGAGCACAGAAAAACCAGGCTGAAGACTAAAGCAGGTGGAAACCGAGGGGCTCCTTCAGTTGCTAAGAAAAATGCCGAGATCTTGGAAGACACTTCAATCAGGGCCCTTCAGGCAGAGGCATACTGAAAAGCAATGGGAGCGTGGTACAGATCCTGAGTTCAATAGAACCACATAAGAACAGCAAAAAAGGATCCTAGCCTAAATGAAACTCCTGTGACAAAAGCAGAAGCAGCAAGAGTGTTCTCCAAAATGGTTTCTATATTAAGTTTTGGTTCCTGCACAGTAAAAGAGGGTTTGGTCAGGATTTGCTTATACATCAGTAATTGAAAAGGTACTGATCAGCTGCCAAAAGATTTATTAAGCCGGGAGTAAGCGATAGAGATCAGCATACAGAAAGGAAGTTTTTCCACAAAGGAAGTTTTTTTCTCTATCCTAGAGAATGGTCTTATGCCACAGAAAAGAAAGTTTTGCACAACCTCTCTGCTATCTGCTACCTGATTGACCCCAAATCTGTGTTAACCTATCTTAATCTTTCTATACAGGGAAAAAGGAAGAAGGAAATTTGCTCTGTTACATGTACAATTACACAGAGACAGAATGCAGCGAAGAGAAAGAGCTCATGGCGTATTGCAAGTTCGTTAACCGCATTGGACAGGAAGTCAGCAGTGACAGTATGAGACTGCACCTGATACCTGGTAAGAAAAAAGTTACTGTTTAAAGTCGTTAAATAGAAAATCCCAGTATCTTTGTAAAGTCAGATGCTGCAAATTTATCACTGGTGACACCTAACAGGAGCAGTTTTTGTTAGACAAGGATATTTTTTCTGCTTTTTCGATGGGAGATATTGAAATACAGAGGAAAAATACCAATTTTGCTGTATTTTTAAAAATTAAATGTACGAGATGTTTTGTCTTCACTGTATTTGACAGTGGCCCCAGTATGTTACCAAGCAGTTACATTTCAGTCATCTTCTGTCCCTACTTCCTTCTGGTACAGGCTGCACCACCGAGCTTCATCTGCTGTGTTCAAACGTGGTCATGCAGCTCCCAGCTTGCACCAACAATTTAGCAAGGAGAAAAGATTGTGGTGCCTCAGGAAGCAGTCATCTAGCTCAGCAGGTCAGGCTGTGGAAGAGCACATCCACTTTAAGCACAAGAATGGGAACCTCCACAAGGTGTTGCAGAGACCTGAGCAGACCCAACTTTCAGTCAGCTCTGCAGGAAATGTTGAGTCATTAGAATGCAGCATTGCTAAATCCAGTTTTGATGTTTAGTTCTGGCCAGGGTTCAGATATTTCAGCTTCTGACTCTAAATGGGAAAGAAAGAAAAGATGGACATCCCTATAATGCAGAAATTTTGTTTTTTCCACAGTAGCGGTGCCTATTGTTGAATCACTGTGTAGGGCCACATTTAACTCTCTTAGGCAATAAATATGCAGAGACTTTATTTACTTTAATCAGGAGGTACTTACTGATATGACTAACCCAATCAAAGCCAGTTGGAAAGACTTACTGTTCATCAAAAAGATGCTGAAGCCTCACTATCAAGGTCTTGATGAATGCCCTATCAGTGCTACAGCCGCACTGAATTGCTTATAAGAATAAACTTTGCGTGAATTACTGTTCACATACTGATCAATACAATCCTACTCCACCTCTATCTAAGCCTATAATCTAACAGACAAAGCTTTGGGAATTGCCTTTTTGGTTTTATTCAGTGCTCAAAAACAAGGGACTTTTAATTCAATTTTCTTTTCAATTTCATGATTCCAAAAAAATTGGAATGCAAGACATACACATCCTGAAAGGTCATGATTAATGAAGAGAACGAGCTGAAATCCCAACTAATTTAAAGGCTTCTGAACTGCACGAAGTCACAAGTTTGATGGTGGTAAACTGTTCAGCTCCCTGCTTCTTAGTTTTCTACCTCTGAGTCTTTTTCTCAATACAGATCAGAAAATTTCTTGCTCAGACAGCCTTGGCATTGGAATGGAAGGGGCCATATTGGTAAAGCCATGCCGTGAGTTAGATGATTTTACCCGAGGCAACAGAACTTACAAGTGCTCCAACAAATCATGGAAGCTTGAAAGGGACAACTGCCTGTCAGCACCAATAAACAACCTGCTGACTAGTGCCGAGGTAATATTTATGGGTTTTCTGGAGCATGGAGGGTGGGGAGGCTGTTGTAGAGGGCAAAAAATTATATTGGGTTTTTTTTGCTTAATGTAATCTAACACTGGCAACCTCTGTCCTCACTTCTCCCAAGTTGATGAACTGCAAGATGGGGACCTAATATATGCTTATAAATATTTCAAGGGTGGGTGTCAGGAGAATGGGGCCAAACTCTTTTCAGTAGTGCCCAACAACAGGACAAGGGGCAATGGGCACAAACTGAAGCACAGGAAGTTCTGTCTGAACATGAGGAAGAACTTCTTCCCTCTGAGGGTGACGGAGCACTGGCACAGGCTGCCCAGGGAGGTTGTGGAGTCTCCTTCTCTGGAGGTATTCAAGACCCGCCTGGACAAGGTCCTCTACAGCCTGCTCTAGGTGACCCTGCTTTGGGAGGGGGGTTGGACTAGATGACCCACAGAGGTGCCTTCCAAATCCTACCATTCTGTGATTCTGTGATTCTATGGGGACCAGAGGGGTAAAGCCCCTGCTGCTGTAAGGGAAGATCAGGTTCGTGACTGCCTGAGGAACCTGAACATACATAAGTCTGCGGGACCTAATGAGACGCATCCCAGAGTCCTGAGGGAATTGGCTGGTGTAGTTGCCAAGCCACTTTCTGTAATATTTGAAAGGTCATGGCAGTCAGGTAAAGTCCCTGGTGACTGGAAGAAGGGAAACATTGTGCCCATTTTTAAAAAGGGTAGGAAGGAGGACCTTCGGAACTACCCACCTGTCAGCCTCACCTCTGTGCCTCGGAAGTTCATGGAAGAGGTTCTCCTAGAAGCCATGCTAAGGCACATGGAGGACAGGGACATGATTCAAGACAGCCATCCTAGCTTCAGCGAGGGCAAGTCCTGCCTGACCAACCTCGTGGCCTTCTATAATGGAGTTAATGTATCAGTGGACAAGGGAAGAGCTATGGATATTGTCTGTCTGGGCTTCTGTAAAGCCTTTGACACAGTTCCTCTCAATATCCTTCTCTCTAAATTGGAGAGATATGGATTTGATGGGTGGACTGTTCAGTGGGTGAGGAATTTGTTGGAAGGTCGCAGCCAGAGGGTAGTGGTCAACGGCTCGATGTCCAAATGGATGCTGGTGACAAGTGGTGTCCCTCAGGGGTCCGTACTGGGACAGGTGCTGTTTAATATTTTCATCAATGACAGACAGCGAGATCAAGTGCACCCTGAACAAGTTTGCAGATGACACCAAGTTGAGTGGTGCAGTTGACAGACCAGAAGTATGGGATGCCATCCAGAGGGACCCAGACAAGCTTGAGAAGTGGGCCCATGTGAACATCACGAGGCTTAACAAGGCCAGGTCCAAAGTCCTGCTCTTGGGCTGGGAAAACCCCCGCTATCAGTACAGGCTGGGGGGTGAAGGGACTGAGAGGATCCCTGCTGAGAGGGACTCGGGTGTACTGGTGGATGAAGAGTTAGACATGAGCCACCAATGTGCGCTCGCAGCCCAGTAGGCCAACTGTATGCTGGGCTGCATCATGAGAAGCGTGGCCCATCTCTCAGTGAGGTTAGATGAGAACAATTATCTTTCTTTCATCAAATACTTACTATGTGTAATGTGGTAAATTAGGCACAGCAAGGTCCCAGGCAGAGGTACAGGTACTGAATTATGTATTTTCTTAACTTGCTAGGTTGCTCCCTCATACAGTTTGGGCCCGGGCAAACTATTTTCTCTCCTGACTTTTCCAGGAGCAGTCTGAAAGTCAGCATAGACAAGAGATCACTCGCAACAGGCAGTTAGGACACCCCGTTCCGGAAAACCAGAGAGCTGGACACTACCAGCATGTCTAGAATGATCCTAGCTCTGTATTTTACTAATATAGGGATAGCCATTATGAAGCAGAATCAAGCTCCAGGCAAACTGCACACATGTGATGTAGTGTTATCTTCTGTTACAGACCTTGGTCAACAGTCCTGAGGCAAAAAAAAACCTACCTACCTACCTTGCAGAGCTTAAGGAAAAGACAGGAAAGGAGCAAAGCACAATAAACAGTTCTCCTGCAAATCTAGGCGCGATCGTTACCATCCTGGATATGGTCTCTCTTATCCCAGCAGATGCAGAGGAGAGTACTATTCTAGTAAGTTTTTGTTTTAAGACTTATCTATACTTATCAAGCCCTTTGGCCTCTTTTGTCCCAGAGGACGACATTATCCCTGAAGAAATTTCAGTTAGTTAGGGTCAGAAATGGGAAAGTATTAAGGGAATGAGATGAAATGACAGCAAAGATGAAATGACAGCAAAGATACAGAAGACCTTATGAAAAGTCAAAATTACTAAGACAAGTAGCCTATGCATGAAAGAGATACTGCTGTCTGCTTAGCAACTGCGAATCTTCTAGGGACCCATAAATGTCTCTAGCATTCTAAGTTAGAGGAAAGGACAAGAAATGATGGGTGAAAAATTGGACGTGGGCCAGCAATGTGTGTTTGCAGTCTAGAAAGCCAACCATATCCTGGGCTGCATAACAAGAAGCATGACCAGCAGGTCAGTGGAGGTGATTCTCCTCCTCTGCTCCGCCCTGGTGAATCTCCACTGGGGGTCCTGCATCCAGCTCTGGAGCCCTCAGCACAGGACAAACATGGACCTGTTGGAGAGGGGCCAGAGGAGGCCACAGCAATGATCTGAGGGCTGGAGCACCTCTCCTTCGAAGAAAGGCTGAGATAGTTGGGGTTGTTCAGCCTGGAGAAGAGAAGGCTCTGGGGAGACCTTTACAGCAGCCATCCAGTACCTGAAGGGGCCTACAAGAAAGCTGGAGAGGGACTTTTGAGAAGGGCATGTAGTGATAGGACAAGAGATAGTGGTTTTAAACTAAAAGAGGGTAGATTTACAATAGATATAAGAAAGAAATTCTTTACTGAGGGTGGTGAGGCACTGGTATAGGTTGCCCAGAGAAGCTGTGTATGCCCCCATCCTGGAAGTGTTCAAGGTCACATTAGATATTCTTGTCCATGGTGGAGGGGTTGGAACTAAATGATCTTTAATGGTCAAAACCATTCTCTGAATCTATGACTCTATGAGGTGGAGCAGAAATAGAAAAATGGTTCAAACAAGGATAGAGATCAAGCAAGGAAAATCAATTAGAACTTATACCAAAAGAATGGCAATACATATCTTGGAAATACTTGGAAGCCTTTATTGTGTGATACAGAGGAAAAGCACTGCTCTTCTGAGCAGAAAAAATACTAAGTGATATCTTAAAAAAGTCCTGCAGCTCCACTTTCGGAAATCCTAACTACAAAATGGAGCATACAAAGGGTTAAAAACAGAAGTTTTCACATGGATTGAGCAAAATAGGAAAATGCTGGGCCTTGTCAAAAGGCAATTCTAGGACCACTCAAAAATTACCATCCAAAACAAGAATGCTTTGTACGGGATTTCAGTAACTGCATTATTCTGTTGTTGCAGAATTTCCTCTCCACAGTGGACTTTGTTGTTGCTGATTCCACAACTGAAGTTTGGGAAGATCTGAATAAAGAGGAGAAACTCAAAAGTTCTTTGCTACTGCAGTCAGTAGAAAATTTTTCCCTGCGCCTCCAACCAGTTAATAACACCATTCCTCCTGTCTCTGCGAACACCCTTCAACTACAAGGTATAGCTGTCACAGAAAATAGCAACACAGATTATAATAAGAAGTTCTACAGTACAGAAAACCTCACAGTTAATGTGCTGATTGGTGAAACTGAAATTCAGACTCTAACCCGAAATTCAACCATTGTCAGTGTGATGTACTCAAAACTTGGACATATTTTGCCCTGGGATGAGCCCGAGTATGTGAACGGCTTACTGATATCAACAACTGTAAGCAGCAATAAAAGCCAGAAGTTCGATATTAACATGACCTTCGAAAAGAACATCTCGTCTCTAAAGATGCCGCAGTGTGTCTTTTGGAACTTCACACTCAACAAACATAGAGGGGGCTGGGATACTTCTGGTTGCACACCCACAGAGGTAGAAAAATATGTCATTTGCTCCTGCAATCACTTGACATCGTTCTCCATTCTGATGTCACCTGACGAATCCTCCCAGGTAGTCATTGAAGATTACATTACCTATATTGGCCTGGCCATTTCAGTCTTGAGTTTGGTGGCCTGCATTATAATTGAATCCTTAGTCTGGAAATACGTGACAAACAACACAACCTCCTATATGCGCCATGTCTGTATAATTAACATAGCTACATCACTTCTGATTGCCGATGTTTGGTTCATTGTCACTGCCTCCATTAATGACCAAAACCAACAGATCAGCAGAGTTCTCTGTTTTGTGGCCACCTTCTTCATCCACTTATTCTACCTATGTGTCTTTTTCTGGATGCTCAGCCTGGGCCTCATTCTTTTCTACAGACTGATCTTCATCTTGCATAACACAAGCAAGACCACTCAGAAAGCAGTTGCCTTCTGTCTGGGCTATGGGTGCCCCTTTGTCATTGCAGTCATCACCATCGCTGTCACACTGCCAAGGAACAACTACACCAGAAAGGATGTCTGCTGGCTCAACTGGAAGGACAGCAAAGCTCTTTTGGCCTTCGCAATACCTGCTCTGATCATTGTGATCATGAATTTGTTCATCACCGCAGTAGTTATAATAAAGATACTGAGGCCAACTATTGGGGATAGGTCAACCAGGCAGGAGAGGAACTCTTTGTTTCAAATTTGCAAAAGTGTGGCTATCTTGACACCACTGTTAGGCCTCACCTGGGGATTTGGCTTTGCCACCATCATCAAAAGCAGCCATCGAGCTTTCCATGTCCTTTTTTCTCTGCTCAATGCTTTGCAGGTGAGTTGCACATATGTATGGTTTTGTTTCCTCTATGACCATTTAACATGTAGCAACATTCTTGTAGCTTGGAGCAGGAATAAAAACAGCTCGAGAAAGCTCAGGGTTGCCTTACATATCCTTATTCACAAAGGGCTCTTTGGGAAACCCATTTCAGGAATTCAGCAGTGTTTCGTGTTTTCAGCTGCCTTAACAACTGTGCCTTATAGAAAAAACTGACATACAGATAATTTCCAAGTTTGCCAGTAGCTTTGGGAGGAACGACATTCCTGAAGATCAGGAAATTAGTCCTATTATGTTCAGGTGCACAAGCTTCAGCGTGTCTGGTCTCAGTTACAGTGCATCTGAAGGCATCATATTGTGCTCTTGTGGGTTCACATACTGTGGAGTATAAACAACACGAAAGTCACCAAGCATATCTGAGTAGTGTTAATAATAAAGAGAAGAATTGACCCAAATACACACATGTGGCCAGTAGGATCCCAGTACAAAGGGATTTCTTAAGGACACAGTAGTATACTGTGTCTCTTAAGAATGGCCTCAAAATTGTATGCTTCAGACTAAACCCACTTGCCTTTTATATTGTGGGTGTGCTGGCTTATCTGGGGAGCATAAGCAGGGCATGCCTTCCATAAAGTCCCTTCTTCCAAACACATTTAGTGCTAGGAAACTATCTGTGTCACTTTTGTAGACCAGATATATACACACAGTTTAAGTAGGCCAGGCCTGGAGAACTCCTACCAGTTTATCAGTCCATTATGTGAGATGCAGTGAGAAAAATGCCCTCTATCAAAGAGTTCAGAGCTTAAATCATCAGCATGGACATTGTCTGAGATAATTATGAGATATTGCAATTAAAGGGTTGGTGTCATCAAACTGCATGTAATTATTTGTCTCCTAGGGATTATTCATTTTGGTGTTTGGGACTCTTTGGGACAAGAAGGTAAGAATTCAAATTATTTCTTATATTATGTGAAAATACTGTTGGAATTTGAACATAATTGCCGTATTTACTGATTGATTTTTATTTTTTTTTAATGAATAGATACAAGAAGCCCTGCTGAAGAGGAATTCAATGTCCAAATGGAGTTCACAGCAAACGAAGGTTAGATTCTTTAAGAATCTATTTCAGAGTTACTGCTGAATAGTCTAACATTCTCCAAGAGTCTTTTAAGTCAAATGCACTTCATAGTCTGAACTATGTATTAGAACTAGTCAGAGAAAGAGAAGACACTACTAACGTAAATAGGAATATACACCTTTTTTCAAAGTTCATTATTTCACCTATAATTGGTAAACAATGAGATGGAGGTTGGACATTTGCTCTAAAATCCACAAGAAATGAACCACGGAATGTAACTGAAACTTTAAGCTAAAAACCTGAAAACTTCAGTGGCACCATTATTTATTCACAACCTAATAGAAATGCAAAGGGAACTTCTTGGAGAATATGTCCTTTTGATATAAGCCAGAAAGGGTGGCGATATTGCAACTCCAACTTGTGAGACAAGAAGACAGGTTAGTCTGCGCTTTATGCTGGGAACAGAAAAGAGGAGGAACAATTAATCTTTTGTCCAAATCGTGTCTATGTGCAGCAAAGACTCAGATTTCAATGAGCAAAACATAGAACATAAGTGAATGTGGTTCCAGAAAGAAGTGGCCTGAACACACTCCTAGAAGAGAAGAGACTTGGGTCCCATACCCAGTACATTCCTGCACTTAATCCAAAACATTCAGTGCCTAAAAAACTAAAGGAATACTGTTACAAAAGGGGACTGGATCCTTAAGGAAGAGCCTGGAAGGCTTCTCTTCCTTCTGTAGAGACCTTCTCTGGCCCAGTGACTCTTGCACTCATCCCTGCATTGAAGCACAGCTTGAACAGGCATATGGAAATGCCTCTGCTCAGGATAGGCATCCACATTAAAGGGGGAAACCAGTTCCAATACATTCTTTAAAAGAAAAAATAAAATTTGCACAGTGCCTCATTAAAATGACTGCTAAGGAATACATTTTTAACAT